AGGTTGGTTGGGAATTTTTGTGAGCTTTCTGCTCTCGGATGAGATCATATCTGGGGGCCTGTGGCCGGCGCCCATGAGCCGCTAACACGGAGGCCCCTGGTCTGGGGAGAGGAGGGTTTCCTTTCTGAAAGGCTTTTTGGAAAAGAGATTCAGAGTGAACATCTTCCAAGTGCTTTTTAAGTGTCACAGGTGGGCAGGATCTGCTCTTGGGAATGTCACCCATGCTTTCACTTGGGCCATACAGGTACCTGTTAAGACAGAGGTAACACCAGGCTTACAGACACACATCTAATTGACATGTGAATGAAACTGCATATTTTCTTTAAAAAACCAACTTATTTCATTTAAAAACAACATAATTATACACTATTAACTTATGCATAAAATATGTGATACTATATAGCTATGTAAAGTTTATAATATATAACATTAAACAACATTTGAGATAGTGGGTTTGACTGTGGTAAGGGTCTTAGGTCAGTCAGCATGACAGTCTCTGTTGCATTATTTGTCCTTAGATTTGATGGTTACTTTCTAGGAACATTTTGACTACATTTATATTTATTTCTGAAGTGATGCTTTCATGAATGAAACAGATTTAATGGGATTAATACTCAAATGTGTTCACATACACAAATTGATGCCTCTCTATAGAGACAGGCATACCACCCCGAGAATTATGAATTTAGAAGGCTTAGAAGAAAATGAAATTGGATCTATATTTATCTCATTAAATGGATAAAAGTCAGCATAAATGGTAGAAGGTAAATGTAAATGGTTTATGTAATTTTCATTGAGGAAATCAAAGTGCATCAAAATGATCCACCCTGCAAACCTTGTGTTAAGAAGCTATGGACTAGTACTGCATGCTAGGACAGCAAGCAATCCCTTTTGCATGCTTGCTAAATCAGGTTCCAAAATTGTGATGGTTTGAATATGCCCCTCTCCCTACCCCGAAATGTTCATCAAAATCCTAACCCTTATACTAGCGCGTAGAATCTGATATGGGAGTAAATCTTTCTTTGTTATGTTAATGAGGTCACAGACTACTATGTAAGCCAGTCACATTGGAGATATAAAAGGAGCTGATTGGGAATAGAAGAAAGCAAGACAGATGGGGGAAAGACAGATGATAGACCACATGAAGATCTCCAAGGATCTTACAAACAGCAGCTGTAAAGAGATGATAGATGGATGCATAGATAGATGATAGATAGATAGATAGATAGATAGATAGATAGATAGAAAGATAGATAAACTTCCCCTAGAGCTGGTTTCCAGAATCCAAACATCTAGCTTCCTAAACTGTGAGAAAATCCATTTCTGTTTGACAAAGCCACCCACTTGTGATCTTTCTCTTACAGCATCAATAAGAAGCTAAGGCACAGTTGTTAGTGGATGCTTTGTGGATTGTGTGCACAGATCGATTTGGGGGAGCTGAGTTAAAGAGGCTTCTTTGCTTCAGGGATCCTCAGAGTCCTTAAAAGGACTGCCTGGAGACGCTCCAGAAAGAGTGTAGCTCAGCCGTGGGCGGCTAGTATGTTTGATCGTGGCGGGCTCTCTCTGCCCAGAAGTACACAGTGATCCTAGTGCTTGGGCAAGGCAAGTTGGAAACATCCCTAGCTCTCATTCCTGCTAAGCTGCTATCCAACCTCATGGGCACTTCCCTGAATTTCCTCTGGGTAAAGCCATAAATCATTGGGAAGTTATTCATATCATAAGGACGAGCATCAGAGAATCCCAGGGCCCAGGCAGGAATGTTTGAATCTCTTCCTGGAAAGAGCCCACTGGGATGTGAAGTCAAGTCGGCCGTCTTCTGTGAACAGCTCCAATTCTTTGATCTATCCATGTGGGAAGATTGTGAATTCTTTGCTAGTTTAGTCATGGTTTCAAAAATTCCCCAAACCCAAGAACCAAAAAACTCCCTGTTTTACCTACATGATTTTCAATGTGTTACAAAAAACCCAAAATGCACTGCCATTGAGTAGGTTCCCATGCACCACGGCCCTACAGCACAGGACAGGATAGAACTGCTCCTGCGAGCTTCTGAGACTGTCACTTCTCATGGCCTGGAAAGAACCCTCTCGCACCAGAGGAGCAGCCGGTGGTTTCAAACTGCTGAGCTTGCAGTTAGCAGCCCAATGTGTAACCACTATGCTGCCAGGTCTCCGATCGCAATTGGATTCTCCATAGGAATTGGAGTCAGTGCTGGTCTGTTCCCTCCATCCCTCTCAATGCTCTGCCTCCTTCAAGAAATGACAGCTACTGCTGTTTCATTACTTCTTATCCATATGTCAGACTGAAACAGTTGACCCCCATTGCCCAAATCATGATGATCTGCTAATAAGATGACCAGCCTGGAATGAAAACAGAAAAGGTCTTCCTAATAATATGACCAGTTTATGTCAACACTACGGAGCTTAAAAGTAAAAGATCAAATCATCAAAGAGACAGTTTTCTTTTCCTAAAGTGCAGAAGATGGAAAAAGAACTGATGAGTCTGAATTACGGTGCTGGTGAAGAACCATGGTCTACGGGAAGGCAGAAAAATCTATCTTGGAAATAGTCCAGCCAGCTTGCTCCTTAGATGTAAGGAAGGAAAGACTGCCCATGTCCTTTGGACACCTTATCAGGAGCAGTCAGTCCTTGGAGAGTGGCATCGTGCTTAGTAAAGGGTCGGTGAAAAAGAGATAGACAGGATGGATTGGTTGGTTGCAGCAATGGGCTCAGATATACCAATTGTGAGACTGGCACAGGACCAGGCAGTAGTTGTTCTGTTTTACATAGGGTTGCCCTAGTTGGAACCAACTCAAAGGCCCCTAATAACAATAGTACAAGTGCACACCGTAGGTTGGTAGGAGGGTTTGTTGGTTGGCTATAGAGTGGAGAGACCAGCAGGAAGCATTTGTCTTGGTTGACACACTTTGTCTCCTTGTTGTGGTTGGGTGCTCTCTATTGATTCTGACTCATCGTGACCACCCATGGCAGAGGAGAACTGCTAAGGCCTCCAAATCCCCAAAGAGGATTTGCTCACCTTCTCTGGCTTGTGGGCATCATTGGCATCAGATCATGCTAAAGGCAAGCAGGTCTAGCTGTGCTGCATTTCAGCCTTACCTGTGAGGGTTGTGTTCCTGCCTGGGTTTGGAGATAGCAGGAAGAGGCGAGCCAAGACTTCTGTGCCCTGCCCAG